GTCCAACACTCTCTCATGGAAAAAAATCCACTCAAACTAGGAATAGAAAGGAGTTTCCTCAAACAGATAAGGGGTATATATTAAAAAGGCACCGCTAACATCATGTTTAATGATGAAAGACTGCTTTTCCCCTAAAATCAAGAATACAAGAATGTCCATTCTTGCCACTTCTATTTAACATTGTACTGAAGAAGCTAGGGCAATTAGGAAAAAATTAAATAAAAAGCATTTGGATTGGAAAGTAAGAAGTAAAAGAATCATTATTAGCAAATGTCATGTTAAATAGAGAAAAGTCTAAGAAATCCAGTAAAAATTATTAGAATAAACAAGTTCAGTAAGGGTACATCAAATAGAAGTAACATAAAAATCAACTGTACTTCTATACACTTGCAATAAATAATCCAAAAATGAATTCAAATGAACAATTCCATTAATAATAACATCAAAAAGAATAAAATACTAGAAATAAACTTAACCCAAGAAGTAAAAAATGTATCTTGAAAACTACAAGACATTGTTGAAAGAAATTATAGATTTAGATACATGCAAAGACATCCCATGTTCCTCAGTAGGAAGACTTAATATTGTTAAGATGGCAATACTCTCCAAATTGACCCCAGGTTCAATACAGTTCCTATCTGAATCTTAGCTGGTAATATTTACAAAGTTTTTGCAGAAATTGACAATGATCCTAAAACTAATATGGAAAATCAGAATAACCAAAATAATCTTGAAAAACAATGTATTTGGAAGACATATGCACCTGAATTTAAAACTTAATACAAAGCTATGGTAAACAAGATAATGTGGTACTAGCATAAGAATAAATAAACATATAGATGTATCATTGGAAATATTTCAAAATTGAGAGTACATAAGAGTACCCCATGATTTTTAAAAGGGTACCAAGAATATTGACTGGACAAGTAGTTTCTTCAATAAATGGTGTTGGGACAACTGGACTGTCATATACAAAAGAAGGAAGTTGTACCCTACATACTATGTACCAAAATTAGCTTAAAAGGGATCAAGGACAGAAATGTAAAAGCTGAAATCATGACAGTATAGGCAAAAAAGCACAGGAATAAATGTATGTGACCTTGGATTTGGCACTGGATTCTTAGATGCGACACCAAAAGCACAAGCAACAAAAAATGAGATAAAACTTATGCTTCAAAAGACTTTACCAACAAAGTAAAAAGACAATGAATGAATGGAAGGGAACACGTGTGAAACATATATATATATACACACATATATATAAAGGGTCTAGTATCTAGTATCTCAGGGATCAGTGCAAAGAAATAGAGGAAAACAATAGAATGGGAAAGACTAGAGATCTCTTCAAGAAAATTAGAGATACCAAGGGAACATTTCATGCAAAGATGGGTTCAATAAAGGACAGAAATGGAATGGACCTAACAGAAGCAGAAGATATTAAGAAGAGGTGGCAAGAATACACAGAACTATACAAAAAAATTCTTCATGATCCAGATAATCACGATGGTATGATCACTCACCTAGAGCCAGATATCGTGGAATGTGAAGTCAAGTGGGCCTTAGGAATCATCACTATGAACAAAGCTAGTGGAGGTGATGGAATTCCAGTTCAGCTATTTCAAATCCTAAAAGATGATGCTGTGAAAGTGCTGCACTCAATGTGCCAGCAAATTTGGAAAACACAGGAGTGGACACAGGACTGGAAAAGGTCAGTTTTCATTCCAATCCCAAAGAAAGGCAATGCCAAAGAATGATCAAACTACTGCAAAATTACACTCATCTCACATGCTAGCAAAGTAATGCTCAATATTCTCCAAGCCAGGCTTTAACAACATGTGAACCGTGAACTTTCAGATGTTCAAGCTGGTTTTAGAAAAGGCAGAGGAACCAGAGATCAAATTGCCAACATCCACTGGATCATCAAAAAAGCAAGAGAGTTCCAGAAAAAACATCTATTTCTGCTTTAGTGACTACGCCAAAGCCTTTGACTGTTGTGTGGATCACAATAAACTGTGGAAAATTCTGAAAGAGATGGAATATCAGACTACCTGATCTGCCTCTTGAGAAATCTGTATGCAAGTCAGGAAGCAACAGTTAGAACTGGACATGGAACAACAGACTGGTTCCAAATAAGAAAAGGAGTATGTCAAGGCTGTATATTGCCACCCTGCTTATTTAACTTATATGCAGAGTACCTCATGAGAAATGCTGGGCTGGAAGAAGCACAGGCTGGAATCAAGATTGCTGGGAGAAATATCAGTAACCTCAGATATGCAGATGACACCACCCTTATGGCAGAAAGTGAAGAAAAACTAAAGAGCCTCTTGATGAAGGTGAAAGAGGAGAGTGAAAAAGTTTGCTTAAAGCTCAACATTCAGAAAACAAACAGTTCCATCACTTCATGGCAAACAGATAGAGAAACAGTGGAAACAGTGGTAGACTTTATTCTTTTGGGCTCCAAAATGACTGTAGATGGTTGACTGCAGCCATGAAATTGAAAGATGCTTGCTCCTTGGAAAAAAAGCTATGACCAACCTAGACAGCATACTAAAAAGCAGAGACATTACTTTACTGAAAAAGGTCCATCTAGACAAAGCTATGGTTTTTCCAGTGGTTATGTATGGATGTGAGAGCTGGACCACAAAGAAAGCTGAGCACCGAAGAATTGATGCTTTTGAACTGTGGTGTTGGAGAAGACTCTTGAGAGTCCCTTGGACTGCAACGAGATCCAACCAGTCCATCCTAAAGGAAATCAGTCCTGAACATTCATTGGAAGGACTGATGTTGAAGCTGAAACTCCAATACTTTGGCCACTTGATGTGAAGTGCTGACTCATTTGAAAAGACTCTGATGCTGGGAAAGACTGGGTGGGAGGAGAAGTGGATGACAGAGGATGAGACTGTTGGATGGCATCACCGACTTGATGGACATGAGCTTGAGTAAGCTCTAGGAGTTGCTGATGGACAGCGAAGCCTGGCGTGCTACAGTCCATGGAGTTGCAAAGAGTTGGACAAAACTGATAGACTGAACATGAAGGGGAACTAAGATCCAAGAGGCCACATGGTATGGCCAAGTAATAAAAAATAAATAAAGCTTTTTAAAAAGAGTTTCTTTTCGAGGTGATGAGTATGTTTTAGAATGGACACTGGTTGCATAACACTGTGAATATAGTAAAACAGCTAATATTTTAAAATAAATACCAAACCTCTTTCTTGACTCCGTATGCCCTCCTAGAAATGGTTCCAATCTCCCTTTCCATCTCACATAGCCTCCTCTTAAGAGGTTTTAACCTCTTAAAAAGCTATTTATCCTCCTTATTTTCACTTCATTGTCACATTATAAGTCAATTCTATTTGGCTGCAGGAATAGATACAACATCATTTAATATTTACTATGACGAGGCATAAAAGTAAGCTTAGGCAGGCAAATTAGTAAATTCTGACAAAGTGTCTAGTAGGTACTAGGATATAAGATCGATAGGACAAGAGCTCTGTTCAAAAGGAGAGAGGAAGGACTTTCCTGGTGGTCCAGGGCCGAAGACTCCACACTCCCAGTGCAGGCGGTTCAGATTCTATCCCTGCTCGGGCAACTAGATCTCACAGGCTGCAACCAAAACAAAAAATATCATGCATGCTGCAATGAAGACTGAAGATCCTTGTGTGCCTCAACTAAGACCTGGTGCAGCCAAAAAGGTGTTTTTTTTTTTTTCCAAAAAGGACAGAGGAAGGGAAACAATACAAAATACACAAATGAGAAACCACTCATTTAAAAGTTATAAAGTGATGAGTCAGAAAATATCAGCTGAGCAATGGGTTATCTGAGGGACTGAACTGTGCTCAGCAAGGGATTATTTCTCAATACTAAGGATCCAGCTTTAAAAAGATAAGAGGCAAAGTCACTGCAGGCAGAAGAAAAAGCAAGTGCCATGACAAAGAAGCTTGAGAGGTGTGAGGAACTTCATGAGGTCCAGGGAGGTGGAAGAGTGACTGACCAGAGGGACAGAGGGGCAAGGTGAGGTCCCGGAGGTAAGGAGGGACTGGCCAGGGGTAGACCTGTAGGGTTTTGTAAGGCAGGATGAGAAGTTTCAGATTGCCTCTTCTCAACCCTGTGACACTGTGCACAACTGCCCTGTTGCACGTAATCTTCTGTATACCTTCTTTGACTCCGTCTGCTCTAAGAAAAATCAGTTTCCTATTCATCTCTGTCTATCCAGTGCTTAGCCAGTGATTAGCCAGAAGTTCAGAGGCTGAGGTTTCCTGAATGAAGACTCTACATATGGACACCATAATAAGGCAAAAATGCCAAGTCCTGTAAAGAAATTCTAAATGAAATCTAAATAGAACAAAAAAATGTTATTGAAAGGCAGTGTGCAGATTAAGGCCAGGGGATCTTCATTTGAATTCTTCTGGCCAACGTAAGGTTATTTCTACCAGAGGTTGTGATGTTTTGCAAGTGTGAAATCAGTTAAACAGAATATTTTCCAAACTTAATTACACTCATTTCCAGCATCCAAAACATAAAACTGCCAGCAATGAACAGTGTTAGCATTTCCAGTGACTGCTCACTAGTCATAAACTGGTTCTCTAACTCAAGCCTACTCACTGGAGCATCCCAAGACATCACCCACACCATCTACCTCAGCACTGCCACTGAGGTGGAAAAGCTATAGATTATATTGCTAGTAACTGAAATAGAATCGAGCACTATCTTTTAAATAACACATAACACACGTTTCCTTACGAATGACTGACAAACATTTAATTGCCTAATAATTAGTTTCACACATGCATGCTGGATTTTCTGTTTGTACTACACAGGGGCTTCTGCTACAGCTCTAATTACAGCCTCATTATTCAGAAAGGCACTCACTGATTGTAACACAGTTGAGACAAAGGTAGCCAACTAACAGTTTCAGAGTACAAAACCATACAATTCTGCAAATCGATAAGGCACGTTTCTTTGGGAGGGAAGGAAAACACATTTTTTCCCAGCGGGCTTACTGTGGCCTTGAGGCTTCCGCCTGGTCTGTCTGCAGTTTCTCTCCTCCTTCCACTTCCATTGTACAGTAAACAACTCGATTGGGAGCGACTGACCTCAAACCTTGCACTTCCATTATGACAATCTAAAGATAAGAAAAATGTTTCACAGATTTGTCAAATTGACAACATTTAGCAACAGAGACAACAGAATGAACTACAATCAGGCTGACCAATTGATATAATTATCTGACAACCTTGATGGTATTTTATCTTCTTTATAATCCATCTTTATTCATGGAAGGTATAGTACATAACATTTGGAAAAAGTCTGATATCTGAAGATGCATCTCCTGCCAGCAATTAAGTTAAAGTCTCTAGATATGAGCCACAATGAAGTGAGATATACACTCAGATCCTATAAAACAATTTTGGCAGGTGTGCATGAGGCAAAACAGAATGATGAAAATTCAGTGAATGTGTTACAAGAATACAGGTTGAATTCCATATAAGGTGACTGGTACACACTGTCACCATCATACCAATTCACAGATAATCAATATGTGGCATCAGAAAATGTCTATACTCACTTATTTATATGACTATCAGCATTTACAAACGAATTTTCTTTATGGCCAATGTATATCTTATGAAAATACAAAAAAATATAACTTTCCAAGAATATCTTACTATTAACCAGACAAGGAAAAATATTTTCCCAATCCATTAATTTGATAAAGTCTACTGGAAAAGAGTAGAAAGACTGATATTAGCTCATATATTCGTAACTCCTGGGGAGAAGGGAAACATACTTTACAAGTGTGCTTTTTATCTTTGTATAAAAGGCTGCCAATCTTAAAATATTGTAACCTAACATTCTCACTGGATATACACATAAAATATGAATACTGCTGAATATTATCTACTATAGCCTTTTAAAAAAAATTTGCATCATGAATTTTCCTAAATTCTCAACATTCATAAAATATATTCAATGGAATTCATATACATATAAAATACATATGTATATTTTATTGATCTGCTATTGTATATGTACAAACAATATTAACAGCATTCATGCCATGTTGCTACCAAAATATCCACTAAAAATGTGTGTATCATTTATTGATTTTTTAATACATCACTAAATCATTATACCTTTTGTAGAGTTATGATATGAACCTTGAGGCAAAAAGGTCTCAAAGAAATAAATCATCTTAACAGAACTTTTATTCCTTTTAGTTCTGGTACAAGATTTTTTGTAAATACAAATGCCTACTGTTTTGTTTTTCCATAAAAAAAATAGGGGAAACTGATCACCAAAAATACAAGCCAAACTCAGAAGCATTTTCTTCCTTCAGCCAAGGCTTTTATCATTTTGTGACACTGAAATGCATACCAACATGTGAATAAAAAGAAACACAATGAAAACACACTACGAGAATTAATAGATAATAGTAACAGTGTTCACAGTCTCTCTAACACTCAAGGAAGCTGAGATGAAGTACTAAGCATGAAACAGAATTGAGTACACTAGATAAATCTAGAAATCTTGATGGCACGAGTTCACATTATATCTGTCCTGCATCTCTTTCTGTTGTGTGTTTAATAGCCAGAGTGCAAGAGAGAACAAAGGAAGCATCTGCTTACCATTATTTCCATTACCTCTACTACAAGCTATACTACAAACAGGACAACCTAAAACAGACGACTTGTGAAAGTCTTCTGCCCTTCAAAACAATGCTCCCATCTGTGTTGGGAACGTTCTATCCTGCAGGACCGCCACTTTCAAAAGATGTAACTTCTATTGTTAATCCATGCATGCGTGCCTGCTTAGTTTCTCAGTTGTGTCTGACTCTTTGTGACCTCATGTAGCCCACCAGGCTCCTCTGTCCACGGGATTCTCCGGGCAAGAATGGAGAATAGATTTCTATGTCCTCCTCCAGGGGACCTTCCCCACCCAGGGATAGAACCTGCATCTCCTGTGTCTCCTGCATTGCAGGCAGATTCTTTACCCGCTGAGACACTGGGGAAGCCCATACATATAAGTAAATAAAACAACAATATTCTGCAGATCTGATTTCCAAAAGGAATTTGAAAAGCACAGGCTAGTTTCAATTATGAAGGATAAAAGCAGCTAATAATTCCATGGACCATCATTTCCTCTAACTTTAGGTAACTGTTTCAAACAATTCCCAGCAAAACTTGATAATGAAACTGCAGAAAATAAAACTGATCTGTGTTCTGTCTTCTCTTCCCAGATCTCTAGATGAATGATGTAATAAGGATAAAACAAAGTTATTCTAGAACCATAAAGAAGGAAAGCATGTACAAAATATGAAATAACATGTTTCTGAATAAGACATTGTCCATCCACAGAGTTATGTGGCAACTCAGGCGTGTTCAGGTTGTAGTAAGAGGAAGCTGAGCAGTCTGGTGAACAGGGGACCATAAAAGTACCTCCAGATACAGAGAAGGTCATGGGGTCTGCTGCCCTATTACCAACAAAAACAGTGTGAAAAAAAACTATATTCATGCCACTGACACCATTTCATCATTTCTGTATGACAACATACAGACTCATAACTTCCTGGATGAGCATTTTCCTAACTTCACTTGACTATTTAATTTTGACATACCACTGTATAGATTAGTGTTTTGTGAGTTAGCTTGTCTTTTGCTTTATAATTCTCTCTGAAAGCTTCATGAATGAAGAGACCTAAAAGTAATCTTGCCAGGCCAATGGCTGATTTTTGATACCATTAAAATCCCTAACTCAAAAAACTCAAAAAACAGTTATCGCGTCAACTGAGTGGCCAGGTACTCTTTTGGGCTCTTAGAATACCTCAGTAAATAAAAATGGAAGAAAAAAAGACCTTAACTTCCTAGTTTACATTCTAGTCAAGAAAACCAGATAATGAATAATGTCACTGAATTTTATCTTAGGTGCTGTGGTGGGAGATGGGATGAGTGGATAGAAATTTTACAGAGATGATAAAATTTGAGCAGTGTTTCAAATCTGCACTTATTCTTTAGACTGGGACTTCTGTTTCTAGGAGAAAAAAATTCCTTCTCCGCTGGATAGACTCAACCTGATGGATGAAATGTGAAACCCTTAAAATGGATTAACTGCTTGCCTTTCAGAGTTTTCTCAAGCTGAAATCTGGTGTCGGATGAGGGAAGCCTGGAAAATGGGTGAAGGATAATTATTCAGTTTAGCTAGGCAAATGTCAGAGGCCCAGGGGCTGGAGGAGGCACCTAATCCATTCCCTCTGGAGTTCCACAGACAAGCATGGTGTAGTCTGCCCTTCAAAGTGATTTCAATTTGTTCTGAGACACGACTCCTATTTAAAATACTGTAGGCACTATGGAACATGTCTGTACTATGCTATGACAGGAAAATATCTGTCTTACATAGACACAGTAACAGAGCATGTCAAAATAATTATAAAAATATGGAAGCTTCTTAGACCATGGCTAAATGAAGTTTTAACTCATATTATCCTCCTAACACCATTTTATTGTTAACTGAACAGCCCTATTGAATACACTGGCAATAAAGCGCAGACTAACAATTCATAGAAAAATGAACTCATGAGCATAATTTTGTTTTCAAAAGGGAGAGAGAATTCATAAAAGCTAATTATTTACAATGGTGTAAGATTTTTAAACAATAGAGAAAAGAGAACGTGTTTTGAACTGTTTTCAGTTGTGCGTGCTTATAGAAATAATGGTATGCTTAAACATTACATTATTTTTATCATTAATGAATTTAAATGCCAAACTCTTGGTAGGAAAAGTTAGACTGTCATTAAATAACTGATTTTGTTTTGTACAAAACCTTAAGAAAAAAAGGAGTTGGCACTTTTCATTTAAGTCCATAGGAAACCTGACTCAGGAATGAACGGGAAATTTTATACCTGAGATACTACTTAGGTTCAAATTAAACAATCTTAGGTTATGACGTTAAAGAGATTGAGAAGAAACCCAGGAGCAAAGCTACTTGGCAAAGTTATTAGCTAATCCTGGAACTGAGTTTGGAGTCAGAAGAAAATCTGTTTCTACTCTGATGCTAAATTTAACCTATTAACTTACAAAGGAAAGGTTAGGCTGGAAGTGAAAAAAGAGAGGCAGTTGTCTTCTCCTCAAACTTGAATTTCAAGTTGAATAAGTGGAGGAAGGAACAGAAGCATTTGTTTTTTCTGCCATAAAGGTAACAAGCCAAGTTTAAGAACTATAAACAAATAAATCTAAAACTATATCTCCTAAGACTACATACTTTGCTTTGTTAATAAGCAGACTCAAATAGCAATAGTGGGCCCCAGCAGAGAGAGAATAGAACAATGCAAGAAAAGAGCTACAAGCTTTAATTTTTGAGAGGCTATAAATTTAAGCTAGATATTTCGAGTATATGTGTGGATGTTGTGTAAAAACCTATATACAGAGATGAGCAGTTGAGGAAATGCATCATGAAAAATATCCACAGGGATCGGCAGCAGCAGTCAGTGATCAGATATCTTTGGTTTCCAGTGCTTTGTATACAAGGGATGAAATTGTGAAGTCTTGGGGAACACAATTTTAAACGTACAATATTCATACTTGCTTTTTAAAAAAAGAATTTTACTGTACCTAAAACTAAACTGCAAGTCCCAGAAAGGAAGTCTTTACTTCTCATCATCTATAGTGCTCAGTATTATACATTCAGTTCCTCAGTCATGTCTGACTCTTTGTGACCCTATGGGCTGTAGCATGCCAGGCCTCCCTGTCCATCACCAACTTCTGGAGTTTATGCAAACTCATGTCCACTGAATCGGTGATGCCATCCAAGCATCTCATCCTCTGTCGTCCCCTTCTCCTCCCGCCTTCAATCTTTCCCAGCATCAGGGTCTTTTCAAATGAGTCAGCTCCTTGCATCAGGTGGCCAAAGCACTGGAGTTTCATCTTCAACATCAGTCCTTCCAATGAGTATTCAGGACTGATTTCCTTCAGGATGGACTGGTTGGATATCCTCGAAGTCCAAGGGACTCTCAAGAGTCTTCTCCGACACCACAGTTCAAAAGCATCAATTCTTTGGTGCTCAGCTTTCTTTATAGTCCAACTCTCATATCCATACATAACTACTGTAAAAACCATAGCCTTGACTAGATGGACCTTTGTTGGCAAAGTAATGTCTCTGCTTTTTAATATGCTGTCTAGGTTGGTCATAACTTTTCTTCCAAGGAGTAAGTGCCTTTTGTAATATTATACATTATAGCTGGTTTATGTGATCTGATTCTCATAGTCAAAGTAGATTAACAACAAGGATAACCAAAAGCTTGAAAGGAGTTTTCAAATTACAGAGAATTCAATTATATGTTTTAAATCCTATTTCTACTCAAGTGTGTTTCAGTACTTCTTCTACCAATAAACTTACACTGGCCTCGCTGGCACCAAGCGACTTGCCTCAAAGCTTGTATTATTTTATTATTTAACCCTAACACAACTGTTATGTTTAAAGGACAATTTGCATTAATTTGCATTCACAATCTGATTGTCTAGCCAATGAAGACTAATTTAATCTCTTTAAAATATATTATGGTGCTTTAAATTTGAAATGTTATCACAAAGGTCAGCAGAAATTATCCTGCAGCCTCATTTACGCTGTCAGAAGTGAACATGGGGTAAAGGCACTTACCTCCAAGGTGAATGACAGGACCACATCGGACTTTGACAGCTGAATCTCATTCTCATCCCCTATGTCCAAAAAGGCAGAGTTCTGGGAACGTTTTAATTTTTGCAATTTAAATTCTGGGCCGCCTTTTGAAACTGGAAGACTCTCCAAATTGGCCATTAGCAAATTCACTGAAGACCGTAATTCTTCTATATACACGCTCTCCATTTCTTTTGATATAAACTTGGGGAATCGTCTTTCCTTAAACATAATTATTAAGATAACAATGTTACACCAGTCGGATCTCAATTTCATCATAAAACACTATATTATGTACATATATTTGACTGTCTTAGAAACTGTGACACTAAATATAATGCATTTACCTGATCCGTTAGTCTCCAGGCTTTAAAAGCCTTGTGCTGTGTGCAGAGTCATTCAGTCATGTCTGACTTTTTGTGACCCCCATGGACTGTAGCCTGCCAGGCTCCTCTGTACATGGGGATCCTCCAGGCAAAAATACTGGAGTGGGTTGTCATGCCCTCCCCTTCAGGGGATCTTCCCATTCCAGGGAACGAATCCACAACTCTGGCATTGCAGGTGGATTCTTTACCGTCTGAGCCACCAGCGATGGGATGACAGCTGTACAAAATGGGCTGGGGAGTGATGGCCTCAAGCATCTGTCATTCAGATGACTGCCTGATGCTCCAGAAAATCAATGCCTTTACCACCGCTTTCTTTGGCATCATTTAAACCGCAGCCTAAGACATCCTCATCTTCAGAGTGAATGGACCACATCCAGAGCATGTTCATCAACCTGTACCTCATCTGACTCTCTCGCCCCAGTTTGTTCATGGGCTGGAAAGGAACATCTGGCACCACCTCATGAGTCAGTCCCAGAGCCTCAAACCACCTGTTTTCCTTTCCTCCCAACCTAAACTTGACATATTTCTTTTAAAATAATTTACATATAACCAATATTAAAACTGCAAATGTATTATCATAGTTATTAAATATCTACATCCATTATTAACTTTCCCAAGAAAGCTTCTTAAGTGGCCTTTTAATATTCCTCTATAGTTTGAAGCAACATTCCCACATAGTAAGTTTGCATCCTCAGAAAAAAACACACAGCTACTCAGTTACGTAATAACTTGGTTTCTTTGGGGGATGGAGGTGAGGAATAACATTTGGATAGTTTTTCAGTACATGCAAAAGAGGAAAAAAAATAAAGCATAAAAGCATTTTTACATTTGTGAACTAATTTTAAAAGCTATCATAAAAAGCAGCCAAAACTCAGATATTAGCAAAAAGGTGAGAGAATAGATCCTTTCAATACCATATGTGAGCAAAAAACATCCAAGGCTCATGCAGGGTAAATGTCTCGAGTTTAATTTACTGTTTGTAGCCTGCCAGGCTTCTCTGTGCATGGAATTTTCCAGACCAGAATACTGGAGTGGGTAGCTATTCCCTTCTCCAGGGGTTCTTCCCAACCCAGGGATGAAACCCAGGTCTCCCATATTGCAGGTGGATTCTTTATCACCTGAGCCACCAAGGAAGGCCCCAATTTACTGTTTACTACTGATATAAGATCCCAGATGGCTGAAGCCACATGTTACTTTATAGAATTTTGCCTGGTGATGATATAAGTAATGTGCATCTGGTGAGTAAGACAATCCAACGATTATAGTTTAAATCCTTGTTGGAAATTAATCACTTTTACTGGGTTTTACTTGGATCTTAACTTTGCCTAAAAACACCTACTTTTCAAATGCTCTTCAGACTAGGTTCTAATATCTATCTAGTTTGCTCATTAATTATACACTGAGTACAATCATTGTTTATTCATTTTATATTTGTATGACCGTCAGTTTTGCCTTTTAGAAATATTTTAGGAAAGTAAAAGGCAGATACATCATGTGTTTGACAGTTTCGGTGTACTGGTTATTTTCCCTAAATTTTCAAGGTGTTATTTCATGGAAAATGTAATATCAGCACATGAAAAAAACCTATTCTTATTTAGCTTTCATTAAAAATACCTCAAGGAAGAGACTGGCAGAAATCACACCGACTGTATCAGCATTTTCAAACTTTACAGGAAATAGACTATACTAGATTTTCTTTTTCTCTCTGGGGGAATAAAAACAACAACTCTGTTTTAAAGCTTTGAGGTTTGTTGATAGTATTTCTTAAACTTTATTTAGCCTGCCTCTTTCTTGGAAACAAAACCAAATGTACATATTAAATTTGATCTTTTAAATTAGAACAGCATCAGAAATAGCACTATTCTGTAGCTTAACTGTGAGTTGTTCCTATAAACCATTTTAGTATTCTAATTTGGTCTTCTGTACAGCTTAGCTCATTACCAGCCCTAACACATTATGTACATAAAAAAAAAATCTGTTCCATAAAATTTCCATTATTCAAATTTAGTCACTCTTTAAGGCTCTCCACTTTCCAGTAGAAGAAGCATGGATCAGAGTGGCAGGATGAAGATGGTGACAACTGTCAGGCTTAGGAAATACTTTGAAGAGAGGCACAAATGGATTTCCTGACAAACGTGGCATGAGCAAAAAAAGGGTCAAATATGATTCCAAGTTTTTACGCCTGATGTACTAGAAAGATAGTACTGCCAAGGACTGGCAGACCCTGATCACTTGACTGGAAATTGTCAACACCCTCTTCCACTCCCATATTCCCAACTCCACCTTCTCTATTTTCTAAATAGCAAATGATCACCTTCCATAATTTTGTTACATAGCATGTTTGCTGCTTAATGCAAGTCTCTCCCAAACAAAATGTAAGCTCTCTGAGGACATGGCAGGGATACTTTTGTCTGATGTTATCCTGAGACAACTACATCTGTCTGGATGTATCCCAAATGCCTAAAATAGCACCTGATTATTTTAACAAGGTGTTCAATATTTATTCACTGAATTTATGAAAAGAGAAGTTCAGGGGCCAAAAGGTTAAATAAGTTCCTCATGTCATATATCCAGGAAACAGCAAACATGGATTTGATCCACAGGTCTTTCTGGCCCAGTCCACCACGTTTTTCCTATCACTACTTCCTAATTATGCCTTGGCTAAAAGGCATAATTTTAGCCAAAGTCAATGTATATATATATGGCTGATTCACGCTGTTGTACAGCACAAACACAACATTTTAAAGCAATTATATTCCAATAAAAATGATAAGAAAAAAAGAAACAAGAAAAAAATATTTATATCTCTTGAAACAGATTTCTGCCCTGTGGATTCAATGCTACTGTATTGTGTTGTGAAGTGTAATAGTTGCTGTTGTTCTATTGCTAACTCTTTGTGACCCCATGGACTGCAGAATACCAAGCCTCCCTGTCCTTCACTATCTCCTGGAGTTTGCTCAAACTCATGTCCATTAAGTCAGTGATGCCATCCAACCATCCCATGTTCTGTCACTCCCTTTTCTTCCTGCCCTCAACCTTCCTGACATCAGGGTCTTTTCCAGTGAGTTGGCTCTTTGTATAAGGTAGCCAAAATATTGGAAGTTCAACTTCAGCATCAGTCCTTCCAATGAATATTCAGGGTTGATTTCCTTTATGATTGACTGACTTGATATCCTTGCTACAGTTTGTCCAGGACTGTGCAGGAAGAACAGATTCAAACCTCCACTCAGATCTTTAAAACACTAGTTCTCATTGTTCCATGTGGATTTCCTGTAATAATAGGTACCAAGTATGATAGGTATTCCTAATAGTTGATTGCCAACTCTAAACTATGAATAAACCACGTTTCTGGATTTATGAAGTTGAAGAGGCATCAGGGCCTAGAAAAACAAACCCAAGCTCTGGAGTCCAAAGGCCAATATCTGAGGTCTTTTATTAAGTAATCTTGGCTAAACCTCAATCTCCTTGTCTATAAAATAAATTCATTATATCACCTACCCTTGTGGGTTCAAAGGGTTATGGGAGAGATCTAAGACAAAAAGGTCAGTAAATTACAAATAGCCTTATATTTTAGGAAGGTGGCTTCAATTTGGTGAAACAAAGTAGAAAGCAATTAAACATCTATTTACCAAAAGACATTATATTTTGAGGGTTTTTTTTTTTTCATTCCAATCTCATTGACTTCAATTCCTTCCTTCTTCACGCTTTTTCTACTTGATCAACATTTCTAATGGAATCAGCAGGGTCCCCTCAAAGAGAAGCTGCTGGTGTTCATCACTGACCTCGCTCCTCTGACTCAGCCCAGAGGTTGTACAAACACATTCTTCTCCACAGACATGAACCTGAGAACTCTCCATCCTACTCTGGACCCCCCTGGAAATTCATCTCAATTATCACGTATCCAGCCAGACCCTTGGAGAAGAACTTGGGACAGTGTGAACAGCTCAGGTACAATCTAAACACAAAGAGACAATTCAGAAATGCAGGTCACAGGTCCAGAGTCCTTCCCACAGTGCCAGGCACATCTCTCCGGATTCTCTCTTAGCCTCAGTTCTTCAAGAAAAGCAATGCCCTTCTAGACAGCTTTCAACACAGGGTACGACGTGGGGGGAAGCATTCTTCTCCCGAGGTTTTCCTGATGGCTCAGTGGTCAAGAATCTGCCTGAAATGCAGGAGATTCAAGTTCAATCTCTGGGTCTGCAAAAGCTCCTTGAGAAGAAAATGGCAACCCACTCCAGTATACTTCCCTGGAGAATCCCATGGACAGAGGAACCTGGTGGGCTACAGTCCATGGGGTCACAAAAAGAGCTGGACATGCCTTTGTGACTAAACAACAATTTTTCTTCCTAAAGCTTCCAAAACCCTCAAGTCACTTGTTTCCAGCCTAAATTCCACATTTGAATCTCTGGAATCATGCAGTGACTCTCCAGGTATGCAGAGGATAGTAACAAGGTGTGTTATCCTTTCAACCTCCACCCTTTGTATGAATTTAACTCTTTGGCCCCTAATTCATATCATCATCCCATGTCTTCATCTGGAGAATCCTTCTCAAGCATCTCTTAGCTTGGCTTTCACAACATACTGCCACCTGTTACCCAACTTCTCTTTTCTCTGTTTTTCTATTTATCTCCAATTTCTCAATTATTTCTCTACTTTTTAATTGAATAGACATTTAGATAAACACAACATTAGCTGTCTTAAAACTTACCTATTAATAAATATATTTTTCTTTGAAAAACACAAAATTTCAATTGTCAAATTCAGTGTGGGACAGATCTCCTTAACTGCTGGTAAAGTTCACTGTCTTGATTTGGGAGGTGGTTATATAGGGTGTCATGTAGGGAGAAGGAAATGGCAACCCACTCCAGTACTCTTGCCTGGAAAATCCCATGGACGGAGGAGTCTACAGCTCTCTATATGGACAGAGGCTACAGTCTATGGGGTCGCAAAGAGTCGGACACGACTGAGCGACTTCACTTTCACTATATAGGGTGTACACACATTTATCAAGCTGTAAACTAAAGACCTATGTACTTTCCTATATACATGCTGTGCCTTAATTTTTAAAATGAAAAAATCCCCAATAGAGAGGACTCTTCAGAGAGACAAAGACAGAATCAGAAGGACAAGGGGAGAAAGGAGAGTAAGAGTCTCCTTTATTATGTCTGAATAAAACATATTCAACGTTTTCATTAAGCAGAAGAAAAAAGGAAAAACAAAATCTTATTTTCAGACCCAAAGCATTATAACTTCAAGTCTCTTTTAAGGGACTAAAATTTTACTTTTACCACTGAAGTAAATTAATGTATCAATTTATTGAGAATGATTTAGACAAAAGAGTCCTCAGTATTAAAAACAAGCACAGCTTTTGTTTGAAATCTATTTCTGTTCACAGAAACACAGTGACTGTATAAATAAAAGTAAATAAAAGATTGTATTTGATATATTCTGAGATTCTTTACTACAAACCTCAAATTATATTTTTCACCCATTCAAATATTAGTTGACACCACTGTGGGCCAAACACTATGCCAGATACTTTGGGATATATCACATGATTTTTCAGGGAGGACGGTCTTCTCTCTGATTATACTATGCTTACTGCAATATTAAACTTCTAAGTCTGGCAGCTTGAGAAATTTGGGCATTGCTTTAAGAATAACCTACAAAAATTATCATTGAATTTAAATATCTTATATAAAGACGGATATGTAACATAAATAATATGCTCCATTTAGATAGTACGCATTCAAGTATCTGAGCTTAAGAGGTATGCATGGAAACAAGAAAATGATAAAATTACACTGGCTTTATCTATACAAAACTTTCACCTTGCAGAAATCTAAGTACAGAAAGAAATGTGGTACAGTATATCAAAGTTAACAACTTACCTTTGCCATTTTCTCAGCCAACTGCAAACGGCCATCAAGTTCCCTTCTGATCTGGGCTGCTTGTTCATCTGCATTATCCAACTTAAAAGAGAAAATCACACGTACACGATTACCTAATGGCAGTGACCTAGAGATTAAAGCAATACTAAAATGACTCCAAAAAACTTGGTAAGTCTTCTCAGCTACCTATTGAGAACACAGAAAATTGTTTAATTAGATTGACAGTATAATTAAATTTCTTGGAGACTTTTCACTATGATTTGCTCACAAAAAAAGGTAATAGATACCTAAGGTTGATAGTTCGGTTTACCAAAAACTCTAATTATAATAATCCTTTGCCAAATATATCCCCAACAAATCTAAGCCAAGAAGTCCTTGTTTCCTTGAGGATGCATGAAGTTGTCATTAAGTTTATTCAGCTCAGTTCATTCTTCCACCTCCATTAATGTCAGTCCTAAACAGTCCCAAATAGATAAATCTCTTGTTCTTTCAAATTACCAGAATGCACTTCTGGAGAGTGAGATACTAATGTTTCACTAATTTCCTTGCTCTTTCAAAAAATATTTCCTTCGTTTGTATAATAAGTTTCTGTTAGTGCTAAACTATCAAAGTACTATTTGATTGACTGCTATCACTTTCTACCATTTAAATCTTCATATGCTCCTCATTCTAGTACCAACAGGCTCAAACTGCCAAGAAATCCTTTTACAGGCTGGCACCACATTAGAATTCCATTCTCTCATTCTAAATTTGATTGAAAGCTTAGCATGTTAGCCTCATTTTTAAAAATATTTCCATCTACATGGAAAATTACTTTAACTTCTCCACTGAAATAATCCTTAACTTTTTTTCTATAACTTCCTTTAACTTTTCCTCATGATTCCTTCTATCTCTTTATTGGTTCCTTGTAAAATCTCTTCCTGTGAGCCATGCATGGTGTGGGAGGCCCTGGGTGGGTGACAGACATAGATCAGACTGATGTTCCTCTCCATTTTAATTCCTTCCCCTCTCTCACTTCCGTCATCAAGAAGCCTAGACCTCACAATACAACCATACTTTAGTAAAAGTCCATCTAAAAATTGGATTAGTACTGAGTACAACATTAGACACCTGGGATAATACAGACTAACTTGTCCATTTGTTGAAGAACTACATATAAACCATGCTACATTAAAAAAAAAAAAAAAAGGCCTTAAAAAGAAAAATTCTGAAAAAAATGAGTAGGTCAGTAGGATGGTCCTGTCAGAAGGCACTATACGAAAAGTCAAGAAGGAAAGATGCTCTAGGAAGAGGGGACCAAACATCTGGAGATGAGATCAGACATTGGTGTGGGGGATGGACTGGGGCAGCGGGGAAAAGGGAAGGACAATGAGTGGTGGGGTTGGAGAGAGAGGCAGGGCTGCTTTAAACGCCTAAGCCAAATGAAGGAGTTTGGAATTGGTCCTTAACGCACTGGAAATTCACCAAGAGGTTTTAAGCAGAACTTCTTAATGGTCACCGTGTCTGTCTCCATCAAAAACAACAGGCGAGATGGACATAAAGATTTCTGTCTGTTCATTCATCTATCTAATTTGTTTATTTAACAGGCAGATCTGGGGTTAACTCTCTAAAAAATGTTTCTAAGTTGATTTTAAAAAACTAAGTTCATTTAAAAATGAGATTAATAATAGGATTTTCCTAAACTAAATCCTTGCTATAAAGGAGTTTCTATGTCATCTCAAAAGATGAATATACTTTTTCTTTTAATTAATATTCATAATTAAACAAGTTTCACTGTGTCCAAAGTCAAAATTATTTATATTAAAAACTAATATAATTATTTAGGAAAAGAAAATGTGATAAACGTCTATTCCAGGTAACCAAAATCATGGCCCTAAAAATAAAAATTTTAAGAACAAAATTAAAACCAAAATTTTGTTTAACTATAGTAGCTCAAATACAGTAAACATAATATGGGGTATCTTCTCATCTTTGTTTAAATGCTGATAAATAGTTTTCCACAAAGAAACAAAATGGTTCCTTGCATGTAAAGAGTTAATAGTGCTACCAAGAAATAGCATTTAACATCTTAAAATCTTAGAAATTCTTCAAATTTCACCACAAAATATTATTTAACATCTTTATCTCTATATTAACAGCGCTTACCTATTTTTAAACGGAGTCGTTTGAGTCACTTCTGGGGTTTATCAGTGCTTTCTGGGAGTTTTCCATTACTTTTAAAAAATATTAATGCCTTGGGACTTCCCTGGTGGTGGTTGAGTACAGCCTGCGATGCAGGGGACACTGGTTCGATCCCTGGTTGGGAAATTAAGATCCCACATGCCACAACCACTGAGAGAGCCCATGCACCCCCAACAAAAGACCCTATGTAACACAAGGAAGATCACCTGTGCTGCAGCTAAGACCCGATGCAGCCAAATAAATACAATCGAAAAAATATTAATGCCTTAACTGCATTTTGTCTGAAAAAACACAAAGAAAAGCAGAGCGCTGCTAAACTGTCTCTTAATATCAGTCTCTCAGAGACAGAAAGGATATTAACTTTGATGACTAGAGTGTTACTTTGTGAAACTAGAAAAACATATTTCCAAACATTTTTTTTTAAAAAGGAAAAGCTAATACAATAAAGACAACACGTTAGAATTTAAGGAGGTATTAATAAATCAGCTGGTTGAATTTTAGTTTACCATTCCACGTCCCATATGGTTTGTCTTTTGATTATTACCTTTGTTTTTCATAACATGAAATTTTATATAATTTTTATGAATGCTTTTTTAAAGGTTGATTTCTCAGTTGAGGTTTCACATGCAGTTGTAAGAGATAATTGAGAGAGATCCACTGTACTGCCCAGTTTTCCCCATGGTAGCATCTTATAAAACCAGAATACTGACACTGTCATCCAGCTTATTCCAGTTTCCTTAGTTTCATGCACATGTATCTGTGTGTGTTGACTTCTATGCCATTTATCATGTGTCTAGGTTTGTACAGTCACCATCACTGTCAAGGCACTGGTCAGCTTTAACACCATATTTTGCCCTTTTATAAACACATCTACCTCCCCCACCAATCCTGGACTGTGTAACTTCAACAACGTACCTCACTTTCAGAATCCGCAAAACTAAATTTAATAAGGCAACAAATTTCCTTTTAATTTCCATTATTACATTGGAGGTGTGCTCCCATGAGAAATTAACTTTTATTAACACCGCATTAAAGGGGCCATAGACCTCTTTAATCTACATTTCACTTCTTTGGTCCTTTCCTCAAAGCCCACAGCCATAAATAGCCATCTATTCACTGATAACCCTCAAGTATGTATCTATAACTCCAACTTCTCACCAGAATACCAGTCTTTTATTTTCAACTGCCTACCAGACTTTATTTTCTCAGACTCCAAAATCACTGAAGATGGTGACTGCACCCATGAAGTCAAAAGACACTTGCTCCTTGGAAACAAAGCTAGACAGTGTATTAAAAAAAAGCTAGACAAAGTATTAAAAAGCAGAGACATCACTTTGCTGACAAAGGTCCATATAGTAAAAGCTATGGTTTTTCCAGTAGTCATGTACAGATGTGAGAGATGGACCATAACGAAGGCTGAGTGCTAAAGAACTGATGCTTTTGAACTGTGGTGCTGGAGAAGACTCTTGAGAGTCCCTTGGACTGCAAGGAGATCAAACCAGCCAACTCACTGGAAAAGACACCGATGCTGGGAAAGACAGAGGGCAGGAGGAGAAGGGGGCGAGAGAGATGAGATAGTTGGATGGCATCACTGACTCAATATACATGAATCTAAGGAAACTCCGGGAGATAGTGAAGGACAGGGAGGCCTGGTGTGCTGCAGTCCATGGGGTCATAAAGAGTTGGACATGACTGAGCAACTGAACCACCACCTACCATTTCAACTTGCATGAAGACAAGACACATACCCCATTTTACATACCCCAAACAGAATCTTGCTTTCCAGCTTCCCACCCCAGTCACTCCTATCGTGAGCAATGCCATGTCATATAATTGGCATGCCTAATTACCATGTGTTCAAGCCTAAAGTCAACATGTCATTTGTGACCTCTTTCCTTCACAACCCACAACCAATCCAACTACAGTCATGCAGTGAAACCTAGAATCACTTCATTTCAGTTGGCCAATACAGTTGTATACATTATTTTGATGAGAATAACTACTTTTCTTTTATGAAAACTTGGTTTTACACACTATCTCCTCTAACTCCTTGTCTTCAAACAAAAAAGCAGGAAAAAACCCCAAAAGAATACTTTAATAGATGTATCTATTCATCACACTTTTAAATGCTGGTGACGCATCCATCTCTAGCATCTGATTTGGTCTCTCAGATCAAGACAATGAGGATAATTTGTGGAGTGTGTGGAGTTGGTGGCTGGGGCCAAAGATAAGCTTCACTCCACAAAGACATCTTTTAATTTCATTTTCTTTTACTTTAGACTCCTGATTTCAATGCTTTATGTGACAATTGACTACTTATACGTCACAGATGTCTTTTCCTGGTACGGAATATTCTTCAGAGGGTCATTTAGCCCTGACCATAAAAGATTCCCATACATATCTTGACTCTGTGCAACACCTCCAGTGTCTACCATACAGAACATTTTACCACTTCAATATTCAAAATATTTCACTGTCTTGACAAATATTTAGTACTTTTATTTTCTTTCTATTCATTACATGGGAATTACTGTTTCTACATTCAGAATTCTCTTGGCTAAGATGCTCCTAACCTGGACCATTAGGAGTCTGAACCATCCAACTTGGGAACAAAATTTGGAGAGGTATGCATTTTTTTCCTTGAGGACTGTCTGAATGTCATAGCTTACCCAAAGGGGTGGTTAATTCCAAAGACATAAAGAATCATGGCTCTAGGAGAAATCTTCTTCATAGAAGTCTCTATTCATTTGTTGTAGAAGAGGCTGCATGACTTTTCAAACATAAGCAATAGAAAATGGTCACCTCATACCTACACATTATCAATCCTACCCTTTTAGAGATGTGTTGGATTCTTCATGAAAGGACACTGGCTCTGGAAATGACATAAGCTCTGAAAAATG